TTTTGAGGAGCGCCGCCGTTTTTGAGATATTCGCAAAAAACCACAAGGGGGGTGTTCAAACCCCCCCCCCCCCAGCAGGGCGCGGGTTAAGAGGAAATAATTATTTACCTAGTTCGGTTTGACAGTACAAGGCGTAAAACAATGTGGTATTCAAAACAGCCTTGTTATACAAATACAGAAGCAACGTGTACCAATCGGCCATCGTCTTTTTTCTTCCACCCGTATTAGGGGATGTACTGAGTAGAAGCCGGAGTCGGAGCCGCCGGAGCCGGATCATTTTACTCGGAGCCGGAGCCGGAGCCGGAGCCGCCATGACATTTCACCCGGAGCTGGAGCCGGAGCTGGAGCCGATTTTTTCTCCGGAGCCGGAGCCGGAGTCGGAGCCGTCTGAAATTTCCACGGCTCCGCATCCCTGCTGCCGACTGTCCCTACCCCATCAGTGGGACCGGTGGGACTGTCTCTGCCGACTGTCCCTCCCCCATAAGTGGGACCGGTGGGACTGTCTCTGCCGACTGTCCCTACCCCATGAGTGGGACCGGTGGGACTGTCTCTGCCGACTGTCCCTACACCATGAGTGGGACCGGTGGGACTGTCTCTGCCGACTGTCCCTACACCATGAGTGGGACCGGTGGGACTGTCTCTGCCGACTGTCCCTACCCCATGAGTGGGACCGGTGGGACTGTCTCTGCCGACTGTCCCTACCCCATGAGTGGGACCGGTGGGACTGTCTCTGCCGACTGTCCCTACCCCATGAGTGGGACCGGTGGGACTGTCTCTGCCGACTGTCCCTACCCCATGAGTGGGACCGGTGGGACTGTATCTGCCGACTGTCCCTACCCCAGGAGTGGGACCGGTGGGACTGTCTCTGCCGACTGTCCCTACCCCATGAGTGGGACCGGTGGGACTGTCTCTGCCGACTGTTCCTACCCCATGAGTGGGACCGGTGGGACTGTCTGTGCCGACTGTCCCTACCCCATGAGTGGGACCGGTGGGACTGTCTCTGCCGACTGTCCCTACCCCATGAGTGGGACCGGTGGGACTGTCTCTGCCGACTGTCCCTACCCCATGAGTGGGACCGGTGGGACTGTCCCTGCCGACTGTCCCTACCCCATGAGTGGGACCGGTGGGACTGTCTCTGCCGACTGTCCATATCCCATGAGTGGGACCGGTGGGACTGTCTCTGACGACTGCCCCTACCCCATGGGTGGGACCGGTGGGACTGTCTCTGCCGACTGCCCCTACCCCATGAGTGGGGCCGGTGGGACTGTCTCTGCCGACTGTCCCCATCCCATGAGTGGGACCGGTGGGACTGTCCTGCCGACTGTCCCTACCCCATGAGTGGGACCGGTGGGACTGTCTGTGCCGACTGTCCCTACCCCATGAGTGGGACCGGTGGGACTGTCTCTGCCGACTGTCCCTACCCCATGAGTGGGACCGGTGGGACTGTCTCTGCCGACTGTCCCTACCCCATGAGTGGGACCGGTGGGACTGTCTCTGCCGACTGTCCATATCCCATGAGTGGGACCGGTGGGACTGTCTCTGACGACTGCCCCTACCCCATGGGTGGGACCGGTGGGACTGTCTCTGCCGACTGCCCCTACCCCATGAGTGGGACCGGTGGGACTGTCCCTGCCGACTGTCCCCATCCCATGAGTGGGACCGGTGGGACTGTCTCTGCCGACTGTCCCTACACCATGAGTGGGACCGGTGGGACTGTCTCTGCCGACTGTCCCTACCCCATGAGTGGGACCGGTGGGACTGTCTCTGCCGACTGTTCCTACCCCATGAGTGGGACCGGTGGGACTGTCTGTGCCGACTGTCCCTACCCCATGAGTGGGACCGGTGGGACTGTCTCTGCCGACTGTTCCTACCCCATGAGTGGGACCGGTGGGACTGTCTCTGCCGACTGTTCCTACCCCATGAGTGGGACCGGTGGGACTGTCTGTGCCGACTGTCCCTACCCCATGAGTGGGACCGGTGGGACTGTCTCTGCCGACTGTCCCTACCCCATGAGTGGGACCGGTGGGACTGTCTCTGCCGACTGTCCCTACCCCATGAGTGGGACCGGTGGGACTGTCCTGCCGACTGTCCCTACCCCATGAGTGGGACCGGTGGGACTGTCTGTGCCGACTGTCCCTACCCCATGAGTGGGACCGGTGGGACTGTCTCTGCCGACTGTCCCTACCCCATGAGTGGGACCGGTGGGACTGTCCTGCCGACTGTACCCACCCCATGAGTGGGACCGGTGGGACGGTCTCTGCCGACTGTCCCTACACCATGAGTGGGACCGGTGGGACTGTCTCTGCCGACTGTCCCTACCCCATGAGTGGGACCGGTGGGACTGTCTCTGCCGACTGTCCCCACCCCATGAGTGGGACCGGTGGGACTGTTTCTGCCGACTGTCCATACCCCAGGAGTGGGACCGGTGGGACTGTCTCTGCCGACTGTCCTTACCCCATGAGTGGGACCGGTGGGACTGTCTCTGCCGACTGTCCCTACCTACCCCATGAGTGGGACCGGTGGGACTGTCTCTGCCGACTGTCCCTACCCCATGAGTGGGACCGGTGGGACTGTCTGTGCCGACTGTCCCTACCCCATGAGTGGGACCGGTGGGCCTGTCTCTGCCGACTGTCCCTACCCCATGAGTGGGACCGGTGGGACTGTCCCTGCCGACTGTCCCTACCCCATGAGTGGGACCGGTGGGGCTGTCTCTGCCGACTGTCCCTACCCCATGAGTGGGACCGGTGGGACTGTCACTGCCGACTGTCCTTACCCCATGAGTGGGACCGGTGGGACTGTCTCTGCCGACTGTCCCTACCCCATGAGTGGGGCCGGTGGGACCGTCTCTGCCGACTGTCCCTATCCCATGAGTGGGACCGGTGGGACTGTATCTGCCGACTGTCCCTACCCCAGGAGTGGGACCGGTGGGACTGTCTCTGCCGACTGTCCCTACCCCATGAGTGGGACCGGTGGCACTGTCTCTGCCGACTGTCCCTACCCCATGAGTGGGACCGGTGGGACCGTCTCTGCCGACTGTCCCTATCCCATGAGTGGGACCGGTGGGACTGTATCTGCCGACTGTCCCTACCCCAGGAGTGGGACCGGTGGGACTGTCTCTGCCGAATGTCCCTACCCCATGAGTGGGACCGGTGGGACGGTCTCTGCCGACTGTCATCCCATGAATGGGACCGGTGGGACTGTCTCTGCCGACTGTTCCTACCCCAGGAGTGGGACCGGTGGGACTGTCTCTGCCGACTGTCCCTACCCCATGAGTGGGATCGGTGGGACTGTCTGTGCCGACTGTCCCTACCCCATGAGTGGGACCGGTGGGACTGTCTGTGCCGACTGTCCCTACCCCATGAGTGGGACCGGTGGGACTGTCTGTGCCGACTGTCCCTACCCCATGAGTGGGACCGGTGGGACTGTCTCTGTCGACTGTCCCTACCTCATGAGTGGGACCGGTGGGACTGTCTGTGCCGACTGTCCCTATACCTTGAGTGGGACCGGTGGGACTGTCTCTGCCGACTGTCCCTACCCCATGAGTGGGACCGGTGGGACTGTCTGTGCCGACTGTCCCTACCCCATGAGTGGGACCGGTGGGACTGTCTCTGTCGACTGTCCCTACCTCATGAGTGGGACCGGTGGGACTGTCTGTGCCGACTGTCCCTATACCTTGAGTGGGACCGGTGGGACTGTCTCTGCCGACTGTCCCTACCCCATGAGTGGGACCGGTGGGACTGTCTCTGCCGACTGTCCCCATCCCATGAGTGGGACCGGTGGGACTGTCTCTGCCGACTGTCCCTACCCCATGGAGTGGGACCGGTGGGACTGTCTCTGCCGACTGTCCCCACCCCATGGGTGGGACCGGTGGGACTGTCTCTGCCGACTGTCCCTACCCCATGAGTGGGACCGGTGGGACTGTCTCTGCCGACTGTCCTTACCCCATGAGTGGGACCGGTGGGACTGTCTCTGCCGACTGTCCCTACCCCATGAGTGGGACCGGTGGGACTGTCTGTGCCGACTGTCCCTACCCCATGAGTGGGACCGGTGGGACTGTCTGTGCCGACTGTCCCTACCCCATGAGTGGGACCGGTGGGACTGTCTCTGCCGACTGTCCCTACCCTATATGTGAGTGTCCGTTTCTGCGGCGGCCGCTGAGCCCCCAACCCTGTCCTTCTCCTCTCCCCAGTCCGCTGTGCAGGGTCGCTCGAGGTCACGTGGTCAACTGGGTGTCTTCTCCAATGCACCTTTTATTCGTCGATCGACCTTACACACCACCGTGCAGTCACATGGCTACGACCCGACTCCCCTCCGTGCCGTCCGACGCGCCGGCATGGCCCCACAACTGGGACAAACGGCCGCCGGGGACGCTCCTATGTCCGATGTTCTTCTCCGTCCACACCGGAGAGGACAGGGCAGGCGGCGGCCGGCCGACGCTGCCCGCGGCGCCGAGGTGACAGCCTCAGACCTCGCTGCTCCCAGTACGCTACACTGGTCAGGTCGGGCCGGCGGCGGCGTGCCATCGGCCGCCGGCCAGCCGGCTTCCCCGTACTGACCACTCACTCACATACAACACACAGCCCTGTTTATCGAGAAACATACAGAACATACGCTCTGAACTATGTAATCAGCAGTCACGAACGAATAACGATGGTCTTCCATAACTCAATAGTCTCAAATGTTAAGTTTTTAATTGCCGTTTAACTGCCGTTTTTACGTTATTTGCGAAAAACCTTCGGGAGGGTTGCATCACCCTCGCCGGGCGAGGGTTAAATACCTCAGTCTACGGCCGACCCGGACAGAAATTCCGGCCTGGGTGAGGGTCAGCTGCCCCTTCTGACCCCCTTTGCCTGCGACACGGATCCAACCTGATGGTTGGTGTAACGCTTATCAGTTATCTTTAGACCAATAGAACATACATACCGGGCCTCTGTCTATCTGAGACGCTGTTGCACGGGACTGGTCTGATAGTCGAGCCACTGCAGGCCGATAGTGGCTATCTGGGAACGGCGTCTGCTCAGGACTATCTGGGTGGAAGCTCAGACAGACGCCGCGGCCATCCGTCAGACGCCCGCTGCTGTCGACCCGTCCTAGGTAAGTCATGGGAGCAGAGCATATCCAGTCAACTTTCTTTGGGATAGATGCAAGTGAGCACGAAGCGAGTCTATTGAGCCATAGTGGAAACTTATGCATGCAACGGCAACAGCTACGCAAGAAAAGGTTTTTGACGAATGGGTAGCGTGTGTGCTGTCGTCCTAGCAACAAGTACGGCTCTCGCGAGATTAAGCGGTAGGTTTTGCACTTTTACATTTCCGGTTATATCTCAGAAACTAATCGATCTACGACGAAGCCATTTTACACGATCATGGCCCGCTTGTTACCTAACAAGTCGATCGCATCTTCAACACTTAAAAGCTTAAAGGGACTATCCCACCTTCTAAAATGTTGTTAAAACCAGTTAAATTGTGCCCGACTTTATAGATTGGATGAACAGGAGCACGGTTCTGGCATTTATTTTTCATTAAACATCTTAGGCTTCCCACATTCCAAACATAAACTTTCAAATATGTGACGTAACAGCCCAAAATTACCTCCTTCCCCAGGCCACATTACTGTCATAAAGCTGATTCTTTTTACTCTGTAGGCACCACAACAAAGTTCAGACCAAGTTTTAAGCGATTTTTTAACGAACAAACCCATTTAAATCAGAATGACTAAATGAGCTGACGTCACACTAATGGTCGCTCCATGTTGAAGATAGGGCCTTGCGAAAGGCCCATTTTCAAATGAAGGGAACGAATTTCTTCAACACCAAGAGGCCGTGGGGGTTGCAACCTAGATAGATAGTGGTTTCTGAACCTCGCCGCAAACTTGGCTATCTCAACTCAAACCCCATGTTAAATGTGGGATAGTCCCTTTAAGACGACGAAGCTATACCCTGAAGAACGCTAAATTTTCTAGGTGCAAAACCTACCGCTAAAACCCGCGAGACCTGTACCTAAGCGTCGCAATTTCGAATACTGCTCGTACATAGTAAGTGCACCGAGACCGACTAGATCGAAGATGATTGGGGATTGTTCCGAGGTGATGACAGTAATGAGAAGCGAACTCGCGGCTCATCTCACTGGTCTGTTCCTTTTGCCAGAGTTAACACCGTCCTCCGTAGTCTCCTCTGCCGTATCCAACGCACACCAACTCCTTCCTTAGATCCTGTCCGTCAGCAGATTTCTTCACCTCATCTCGCTATTCCTTCCTTACCAGTCTCCAAGACTGCACTGGCCGCGGCGGCACGTAAGTACCTGTGGTATATGACTGTGAATATGTGTATAAAGTTTTAACCCTCGCCCGTATTGGTGTTTTGCCAGATGCGAACGTATAAGGGAGGGGGGTCCGTTGGAGCCCCACTTGCCGTTTCGCCCCTGATCGAGCTAGAGCTTCGCGGAAAAACGAGCGTGTTGCCCGCGACGAGAGGAAGCCAATGATACTCAATTTTAAGGTCCCAGATTATTGGTTGACCTTCCAGGTCAGGTAATGACCCAAAGGTCGGGAAAATCCGGACCTGTTAGAAGGTCGTAAAGTATCGCTACTATCATTGGGTTTCTCGGGGTGCTGATCACGAATATCATGTTAGTTTTGATCACAGATGATGTCTTCATGCATTTAGATAGACCAGGTCGGGTTAGGTCAGGTCAGGTCAACCAGTAAGGGTCCTGCGAGGCGTTTGTTGTAGGTTTCAAGCGCCTTTGACAGCTTCGTAACATGTTACGAAGGCACCAAAACTACTCCGTAAATGTTCAAATGCTTGCTAAATTCGAATTCAGCTAAAAAAGTCTAGAAACATGGAAAACTCGAAAAGGTGAACCGAGGCTATCAAAGGTCAATGACCTGACCTGACCTTCAGGTGACTTTGACCACCCTAATGCATGTGACCAACATCACATCACATATTTGAACGCTTGAAACCACGAAAAGCCTGCAAATACGCGGCTTATGCGGGCCGACATACGCCGAATCGCGATTCCGGCCAAACATGGTCTCCAAAAGTAGAGGCCGCCTCCACTGTGCGGACGGCTTGCGGTACGTGCGGAATTTAAAGGTAGTGTGCCAGCTTTCCTGAACCAAATGGAGTTAATGACCCGGATAAGGAGAACCGGATTTTTAGAACTTATCCATACCTTCAAAACTCATGGAAACGTCTTAAATTCTTCAAATTTTGAGTACCCCAGTGCGAAATTCGCCCCGACGGGTTGTCGGTCGTACCCCAACCACTTTCACCACACTATGAACAATAAATGCACACACTAAAATCGCTATTACCGATAGGCTCATCCAATCAAGTTTCGATAAACCCGTTCATCAACATCTCCTGCGGTTTCGAACACGCCTGTTAGGTGGCTTCTGCTCATACTCTGTGGTGCGGTGGTGGTGCATCAGGCCGCGCGCTCTGACTTCGGCCAAGAAAAATGCGTCAGCTGATCATTGTCATTTTTGCCACTTTCGTGTGGTGAGATGGGGTCATAACTTATTCCGCGCACCGACGGGGGTCTGCGCCAACTTAGTACCGACGGGGGGGGGGGGGCGGATGACCGCCCCCCCCCCCCTGAGATCTCGAGAACGAAGCAAGATAGCGACAAGCGGTAAACGGCATCGGATACGCACGGTCAAGATCTACAATTTTTACTAAGGTCATTTTCAGGTCAGGTCAAAGATGACGTCACAGGGGTCGAAAAAGTCAAAATGGCGGCGCTAAATATGGAGAGAGTTTTTCTCGAATAACTTTCGAATTAGTCAAGATAGGAACAAACTAAGGGCATCATCGTGATCCTCTCGTCAATACGCATCGAATGATGTATATGTTGACCTCGAAAGGTCAAGGTCAAAGGTTGACCTCAGGTCACGTGACCTCGAGGTCATCATGTATATCATTCGATGCGTCTTGACGAGCTGAACACAATGAGACCATCCATGCGTCTGTATCTTGTTCCTGTACGGAGTTATTGGCCAAAAACCTTTGGTGACCTTTGATGACGTCACATGACCTCACAGCTGCCCAACAGCAAAACAGACCTCAAGGTAGTGAAGGTTGATCGTATATGAAGTCATGTATGGTATATGGGGCCATTCCGACCCGTTTTAGTGGTAAAAACAGGGAGTTGATTTTTCCCCCATTGACTTATAATGGGGAGGTCGCGAAATTGACCTGACCTTAGGTCACCGATATCAAAATTCCGAGATATACAAATTGTAGCTACTAATGACCTAATAACATCCTGCGACTTTCAAAGGCCTCCGACATCTACTGTAGCTCTGGCACGGTGACAAAGTTGCAAAAAAGTGACTTGAGGTTGGGTCATTCAAAGTGACCTGGTGACCTGACCTTGAAAGGTAGGAGGTTCAAACTTGCACACCATGTGTAAAATTGATAAGGGAATAGTCATACCAAATTTCGCGGCGCTACACGCCGCGGTTTTCCCGCTATTCGCGAAAAACCTCAGGGGGGGCGGATATCCGCCCCCCCCGTCGGTGCGCGGGTTAAGAGAGGGCTGTTTCATATCAATTATTTTACATAAAATCATATTTCAAACCATAAATTAATGTTCGACAGCCAAATTAAAGAAACAATACCAATACAGGATTACAGTTTAAGTTCGACATTGTGTTGTCTACGATTAGACAGCTGATAACTCATTCCCGTACGTCGTAACTCTATAATGACCTTTGCTTATTGTCACATGTGCGCCGCATTCACGATTGTTGCTGACGCCTGTTTGCAAGTCAGCCCACTACAGTTATTATACGTATCGAAAAACCGATAAACTCTTAGGCGAAAAAAACACTATTCCAGGCCCATTTTATTTTTTGGCGATATTAGGTAAAAACAAAAGCTTCTTATCCTAGGAAAAATAAAATGGGAAATCATTGGAAGGTGGCACACTACCTTTAACACAGAAGCCTATGGGTGCATGCGTTCTCCGTCCGGAGTGGGTCATGGGAATGTGCCCGCATCCGGACAGCAAACTGAGAGCTCACGGACACTGGTGGACACAAGTTTTCAGTTGTTACAAAAAGAAAATATGGCATTTGACTAGCGTCACAATGATGGTGTCATACCAAAGAAATGATGTTTATTTACTTCATCATGAAATAGTTGAAATTTAATCTTAAATTTGCAATGAAAACTCGAGGACGGAAGACCATCCGTGTCCGCATCCATTCCGTCTGCGTTCTCTGCACAAATTTCAACATGTCGTACTTTAGCATTTCGTCTCTGTGGCAACCACTTCCGATGTATGTCATATCTGACTCGATTCCGAATTGAATAAATTTAGTTCGAGGAAGGTCACGTGCGACTAGAATAATGCGACCACAGTGTATACAAATACAGTGGCGGCAAATGCGCTTGGTCACGTGACCAAATCTGCACGTGCGGTTGTGGCGAGGGCCGTTCCCGAAACTCTGGGTCCAACGGCCTCGCGGCGCCCATAGAGAATACATGGGACCTTTTCTTTTCAGACCTATCGTGTCTAAACCAAGCCATTTAGTGCAAGGATACGACTGGTTTGAGATTCAGTAGTCTTTTGGCTATAAGTCGGCATAAGAAACGTATTTTTATCGGCAAAATTCGCAAAGTACCAGGTGGTTTTCCGATACCTGGCACGCCTCCTAACCCCCGGCGGCCGACCGGAGGAGTCCGTAGCGCTCCACTCACGACTTTTGGCGATAGCTCAAAACACCTTACAGCTAGAGGGCTGCTATTTGGCACACCTTATCTTTGCTTCCATACGCATCTTTGGAAACCAATTGCATTTCCGTCTCAGGTCGGATCACTGACTTATGACGTCACACGTGAACCTCTGCAACAGTCCCAAAATACCGAAACTTCGCAATGCCCTCGGTGCCAGAGGAGCTGTCACAGCGAGATGATACTTACAGGACCTAGTATCCTCTACTAGGAGTCTCAAAAATTGTATATCTCGGATTTCTCCTAGAGGTCACATGAGGTCAGGCCGATCGCGTGACGTCACCATTACAAGTCAATGGGGAAAATATGGAAACTGTAATTTTGACGCCGAGAATGATCTAAACCTAGCTCA